CTGTGCTTTTGTCATTTCCATTTGGAGAAAATAAAAGACGGTGGCGACTCTTGCTTCCGCGACATTTCGCGAACCAGCTTTAAAACAGTCAGTTCCAGATCCACCGATCACACAGGGCCTTGAACAAAATCATTGTTCCCGACAAATTTCCCATCCCAGTGATTGAAGAGTTGTTAGACGAAATAGGAGGGGCCAACATCTTTTCAAAACTGGATTTAAGATCCGAATACCACCAAATCAGAATGAAGGAAGAGGATATTGCAAAAACTGCTTTCCGAACACATGAAGGTCATTATGAATTTATGGTACTTCCATTTGGACTTACTAACGCACCTTCGTCTTTTCAATCATTAATGAATGAAGTATTAAGGCCAGTACTCCGAAAATACGTTTTGGTATTCTTCGATGATATCCTAATATACAGCCCTTCTATGGAAGAACACAAGAAACATCTGCAAAATGCATTAACGTTACTCCAACAAAATGAATTGAAGATCAACGGCAAAAAATGCTCATTTGGCCAAGATAACTTGGAATATCTAGGACATATTATTTCTGCTGGAGGAGTATCCGCAGATCCTAAGAAGTTGGAAGCAATGACATTATGGCCTTCACCCAAGGATGTCACTAGCTTAAGGGGATTCTTAGGCCTTACTGGCTATTATAGAAGGTTCGTTCATGATTATGGAAGAATAGCAAGGCCATTGACCAACCTGTCGAAGAAAAATGCCTTTGAATGGAGTCCAGAGGCAGAACTTGCGTTCGAACAACTAAAGCAAGCCATGACCAAATTGTCTACATTAGCAGTACCCAACTTTTCAAAGCCTTTTGTGGTGGAAACGGATGCTTGCGGAACCGGACTAGGGGCTGTTCTAATGCAGGAAGGAAGACCCCTGGCCTTTTGGAGCACTACCCTATCAGAAAGGAATAAGAGAAAATCAGTGTATGATCGCGAATTAATGGCAGTCGTAAAAGCAGTCCAGAAATGGCGACACTACTTGTTGGGAAACCATTTTATTATTAAAACTGACCAAAAAAGTTTGAATTTCTTGACAGAGCAGAGGATGATTGGTGAGGAACAACACAAATGGATTTCCAAATTAGCAGGATATGATTTTGAAATACAGTACAAGCCAGGGAAGGAAAACTCTGCCGCCGATGCCCTATCCAGGAGAAGTTCTTATTGTGCCATGACAGTCTTAAAAATTCACGATTTCGAGGAATGGGTTGAAGAGATCAAACAAGATGTCAAGTTACAAAAAATCATGCAAGACCTAATTATCAATCCCATGTCTCATGTTGGCTACACGTTAAGGGATCAGAAACTATTTTACAAGGAGAAATTGGTGTTGTCAAAATCATCCTCCAGGATTCCCATCATTTAAAAAGAATTCCATTCATCTTTGGTAGGAGGACACTCAGGAATCTTCAGGACTTATAAAAGAATAGCCGATCTAGTTTATTGGGAAGGGATGAAAACCGACATCAAAAATTTTGTTGCAGTTTGCGAAGTCTGTCAAAGAAACAAAAGCGACAACTTGTCACCGACAGGACTACTACAGCCATTACCAATTCCTACTCAAGTATGGACAGACATTTCGATGGATTTTATTGGAGGACTACCCAAATCCATGGGGAAGGATACAATTCTGGTGGTGGTTGACCGGCTCACCAAATATGCACACTTCATACCATTAGGGCATCCTTACACCGCTATCGATGTTGCTGCAGTTTTTCTACAGGAAGTTGTAAGATTGCATGGATTTCCGTCTTCCATTGTTTCAGACCGCGATCCTTTGTTTTTAAGTAATTTTTGGAAAGCCCTTTTTAAAGCAGCAGGTACACAACTAAAATTCAGTTCGGCATACCATCCTCAAACGGATGGACAAACTGAAGTTGTCAATCGATGCTTGGAGGTTTATTTACGATGCTTAACAGGTACTAAGTCTAAGAAATGGGTCTCTTGTCTTCCCTGGGCAGAATTCTGGTTTAATACCAATTATAATGCTTCAAGCAAAATGTCCCCTTTCAAAGCATTGTATGGACATGATCCACCTCACATTCTTAAGGGATCCACCATTCCTTCCCGCCTTGAAGAAGTCAACAAACTTACAATTGCTCGAGATGAATTATTGGCGGCTCTGAGAGAGAATTTGTTGAAGTCCCAAGATGTCATGCGCACAAATGCGAACAAACGCCACCGAGATATAGCATATGAATCGGTGATTGGGTGTTCTTAAAGATGCAACCTTACAGGAGAAAATCCTTGGCTAAAAGGATTAATGAAAAACTCTCGCCTCGATTTTATGGTCTTTTCCAGGTGTTTAAAAAAGTGGGTGTTGTTGCTTACAAATTGGATCTTCCATCTCATAGTAAAATTCATCCAGTATTTCATGTCTCTCTCCTCAAGAAGGCCATTGGTGATTCTTTCCAATCTCAACCTTTACCACCTATGCTATCTGAGGATCAGGAATTACAGGTTTATCCAGACTCTGTTTTAGATATTCGTGAATTACAACCTAGCAACGTGGAAGTCTTAGTTAAGTGGCAGAATCTGCCTACAAGTGAAAATAGTTGGGAATCTGTGGCTAAATTACAAGAGGTCTTTCCAGATTATCACCTTGAGGACAAGGTGAATCTTTTAGGCGGGGGTATTGATAAGCCTAGGCCACCCATTACCAAGTTTTACACCCGCAGGCAGCGACTCCCAAGGAGTGCAGGATCAGGAGATGCAAATCAGGGGGCGTGACCCTTGGTGAACAGACACACCCACCCGAAAGGATGCGACCCTTGGAACCAAACAGCATCAAATCTAACAATTATAACCCTTCAAATTAATTGTGCCAATTAGGAACAGATGTAAATGTAGTATAAATAGAAGCAAATCAGAATTAGGAAGACATTCAGAAAATTAGGAAGAATTTGAATTGTGGAGAGACAGGCTCTCGAAAACCTGTGTTGTAATAATCCAATATTATCTACATAAATTTCAGTATTCATCTTTTCATTTCTGTTCCAATTTTTTTGGCTCTTATCACTGAGAATGTTGGAGCACGGGGTGAAGATTCGGAGTTTTTTGAGTTGAAGAGGGTTATCAAAACTGTGGTTTTTAAAGATGAAGTTGAGGACAGATGGACTGAAGGGATGGAAAATAGTTAGTCAGTAAAAGAAGCCTACAAGGTCCTTATGTCTAATACCTCGATCTGCTCTAACCCGAGGCTATTAAGAGCTTAGCACAAAGCAATCCCTTCAATAGTATGTGTGGAAATTTAAGCAGAATAAGTTGGCCAGAAAAGGCAATTTATATCAAAGAGATGTCCTGGAGAATAATCACGTTGATTGTGTGAGTGAGTGTGGAGGGGAAGAAACGACGACTCGCTTATTCTTTGAATGTTCGGTATTCTCAAGAGTTTTGCATGAGATTTATCGTCAGACATGGCATGATCACATCATTCCAGTACATAGTTTAATGCATTTTGATCAATTTGAAAGACTATTCGGCTACGGCAGATCCCTGACAAAGTGGATGAGTGTTATGTTTGTAGTTATTGCAGAAAATATTATACCTGCAGTATTAGAAAGTGATTTATATGTTTGTTCTATTTTTCTGCTTAATTTTGCAGGCTTGTATTTTTAGCAAGGCAAAGTATATCTTATACTTTGTCTGTAGTTTTTTCTTATTACAGTTTGCCTCTAAAAAGAATGAAGCATGCAACTGTTGGTGATCAAAACGTGTAACATCATATGTCTACGTGTAACATCATATGTCTAATAATTTATTATTAACACCGTTAATATGTTAAAGAAGATATGCCAAACTGCACCATGGAAGCCATGAATACTATAAACGATTGGTGCACAAGGTTAATAAATGAAGGAAAGGTAAAAGAGAATATATCTACTGTAATGACGGTTATAAAGTTTACAAAAGAAATGATACAAATAATTGCTACTACTAATCTATTTATAGACAAAGTAAATTGTCACGTACACCCTAAAAGGTGAATTTAATGATTAAATTAAAATGTACAAACTAGGAAATACTAAACTTAACAGCTAAGCTAACAAACTCAGAATCCAAAAACTGAACTGTACATATTTCTGGACGTAACCTCAGAAGCTTTTGCTTCTGACTAACAACAACTTCTTAATATATCAAACTACTGCTTCTAACTAAACAGTCTTAGAAGCTGCTTACAACTTCAGGCTAACAACTTCAGAAGTTCAACTGCTTCTGAGCAACAATATCTTCTGAATATGAATTACTTCCAACACCTTCCCTTAATTCATATTTAGCTAACCAAAATTCTTCAACACCAATTTCATCCCTCAAACGGATAAAGTGTTCATTCTTGACATCCTTCGTCAGAACATCTAAAAGTTGCTTCTAGTTGCTACAATGTGCAACTTTTAATACTTCATTTAAAAGTGTAGATTTCTCCTTGAGAACTCATCTCACACTGGTATTTTTCTTATCCTTCGGAAACTCAGTTAATTCCCAAATCTTGTTTCTTTCAACTTCATGACCTTCAACAACACTTTTTTCTTGAGAGCTTCACATGTCGGCAAAGGTAACCCAGCATCCCATTAATTGAGACTTCCTATGCATAGCTGTAGCCTTTCGTTAACCCAAAGGCTACACAAGATAACCCTAATTTCTAAAATTAATGGAAATAATATAAAGAACAAAGATAAATAATATACCAAAAATCAAGGATAACGTTGCTAAGATTACTACTTATTAATATTAATAGAATAACAAAAAAGGAAAAGAAGAAACAACAAACCTTTGTCTCTCTCATTAGTATCGTGCAATTTCCCATTCTCCATAGAAAAACAATAACAATCTCTTCATCTTAATCTCTTTCTCTCTCACTTTTTTCTTCTTTTCAAGTCCAAAACAATAACCAGAAGCATAACAATTAAATAGTGCAAAATGAGGGAAAAGGTAAGGGCTTACCTAAAAAAACCGGCGGCGGTTGTGCAGATGCAGGTGGCTCTCACAACGGTGGCGGTTTCCGGTGATTCGCGGCGAGGGTGTACGGAGGAAGGTGACTTCGTCGGCGTTTACGCGACGGTGGCTGCCCATCGGTCTGTTGCCAGCAGAAGCGAACGAAACGAAATCTGGGCTCGTCGGAGTTGAATCGGTCGGGATTTTGGTGCGGTAGTCGAAGGTCTGTGCTTCTGCGAAGGTGGTGAATGCGGAAGAGGTTGCTAAGCCGGGCATGGTGTGGCGGTGTTCGCGGAGGTTTGACGCGTGCGGTTCCGATTCGAGTTCGGAATTTTCTCTTCTTCTCTGTTCCGTTGTTGTGCGTGTTGTTGTTATTTTTCACTTGCAGGTTTAAAAAAAACATGGTGTTAATTCTGGTTTTGAATGATGAGTTTTGTTAATGATGAAAAAAAGCAGAGTTTACACGTGAACCAAAAGTGGTGATGATGATGAGCATGAGTTGTTTCTCCTGCAAAATAAAATTCTAAACAATATATATATTTTGTTAAAAGAACATGAGATATTGTTGATATAACATATATGTTTATGGCTAAGTTTAGAAAATAATTGGTAAGGTTAATGATATTGAAAGTTTTGGAGAGTTTTTTTTTTTTTTTGTGTGTTCGTGGAAGATTTGAATCAGGTAGGCTAAAGTTCCAACAAGATCGATGAGGATGATATTGCCACTTTTTCAGTTAAAGCAGAAAAACCAGTAAAGATAAAGTTGAAGCTTTTAGATCCAAAATTGCACTGATTCTTAAAATGAATATAAAAAGATCTAGAAATAATTATAAATAAAAACTCTAGTCAACAAAGTAAATAAAAAATGTATAATGAGTTTATATATATATATATATATATATATATATATATATATATATATATATATATATATATATATATATATATATATATATATATATATATATATATATATGTGTGATTTTTTTAAAAATCACATTCATAAAAAAAAATTCTCCTCATTTGGTTTAAATATGAGACGAATTAAAAATAAAATAAAAGAGAGAGTCTCGAATTTTTTTTATTAATAACCAAGTATTAAAATAATATTTCATAAATAATCGGGTTTCGGAAAAAAAATACGCAAATAACCATGTTTCAGATGACTCCCCAAAGGAGGATTCATCTGAAATGGCGCATGCACCTATATTTTTAAGGGAGGCGCCATCTCACTTGGCGCCTATGTGCTTAGGGCATGCCCTAAGCCAAGTGAGATGGCGCCTAGGTGTATTTTTAGGACAAATTTTTTTTTTTCCTTTCTGGTGCATTGCGTGTTGGACAAAGATCAACAAAATGGACTTTTTATTAAAAAAATAAATAATTACATCCAATTGTATTACATTAAAATAACAGTAAAAAAAACAGATTAAAAAAATGGATACAAAAATACTGGGAAAAAAAAGATACATCAGTGATCCCCCGGAACCCGATAATGATCCCCGGTTCCGCATCCCCGTCCTCGCCTTTCTCGTGCTGGGTCCCGTCGCGTTTCCTGCTGCGGCAAGGTCGATGGCCCAGCGAAGTCAATGCGGTCCGAATCCAAAAAATCAGTCAGATCTCCATATCTAGAAGATCCGCTCTGGTACAGTCGGTTACCCATACCCTCAAAGTTTGGTCGTGTTGGCGGTGGGTGGGGTTCCATGGTTGGTCTGTAGCATTGATCGTCTGAGTACGGGGGGTAGAAAGGAAATGGATCTTGGGGTGTTTGGTATTGAGGATGTTGGGTGGTTTGGTGATATTGTGGGTGATGGTAGGTTGGGTCGGCTTGGTCGTAATCTTCCGACATTCCCATATCAGGGCTAAGGCTGGATGTTGAGGGCGCCATATTGGGATATGTGGAAGACTGAAATTGTGTGTGGGGTATGTGGGTGTGCTGGTATTGGGGTTGGTATTGCGGTTGGGTTTGAGGCATATCGGGGTATTGGTAGTTTGGTGATGATTGTGGTTGGTTGTGCGGCATTTGATTGTAGTTGTGTTGTGGTGGGGAATGTGGTTGGGTGTTTGTGGGTCTGTTTCTTCTTGGGGGTTGGTGGGAGGTTGATGGGTTTTGGGTTTGTTGATGGGGAATCGAGGGTTGTGCCCATTGTGTGTGTGGGTCAACCAAGTACCTTGGATGAGACACGTGCATTTCTGGGTTACTAACCGACCTGTACCACGACAAATATTGATCCGTGTGTCGCATATTACCTTGAGTAAGGAAAACCGGGAATTGCAAGACGTAGCGGTGACGCCTCTGCCACATCTTACACCATTCTGGAGCGAAGTCTTTCCAGTTGGTAAGACCCCACTGGGCATCGACCCTTTTAAGATGCCATGGGGACAAATCTGTTGGATCACTTGGTATCTCTTGATGCATTCCGAACTGCATCTTCACACAGTCGTTGTGGTGCATCTCCACAATGTTGAACCGAATGATTGCAGTCTTTGCAGTCCAAGTTGCTGCATCCTCCGGGTTTGGATCATGGCCCAAACCCAAATATGGTCTCTAGACGAACTGCGATAAAATTTAAATCAGGTTAGCGCAAAAGTAATGTATAAATAATTTAAATGAACAAAAGTTAAAAGCTACGACGTACGTCATCTGGGCCTAAGTGATCCAACATATTGCGGTAGAGTGCGATATTGAATCTTGGATTCTTGCCGTAATCCATACCCCTCACGCAGTACCTAAAGGAAATGAGAAACATGTTATTCTTAGCATATATTTTGGGAAGAGCAGAATAGTTATAAATGCTATAACTTGATGACTTACTTTGTTGCGTACGGGAAACCGAAAGTGTTGTTGTTGACGGGGTTTAAGGACTCCATCCTCCACCAACCCCAGGCTTGTAGTAAAAAAGCGCACCCATAAAATGTACATTTTTTCTTGACTGCATTTTTGCACATTGAACTGTATAGGTGGGCTAATACTGCAGAACCCCAACTATATTTTCTTGTTTTTTCAAAATTTGTTAGTAAATGTAAGTACATAAAATTTACACTATTTCCCGTACTTTCGGGAAATAAAAATGTACCAAAAAGTATCATAAGATACGTTCTGGCTTTTACTACTCTGTCATTCTCTGAGGAATTTTCATTTAATTCCAAACTTGCATAATGACGTTTCAGCTCAGTGAGTAGTATTCCCTGCCCTCTTGCTCCACCGCCTTCTACCATATCCTTACCCAACAGTTCTTCACACTGAGAGTTGGATTGTTGAACCGACCCGTTCACGGCCTTACCGTCGACAGGGAGACCCAGTAGCATGTACACATCCTCTAGCGTGATGGTACATTCACCTATTGGTAGGTGAAATGTATGGGTCTCCGGTCTCCATCTTTCCAACATTGCAAGAATGAACTTCGAGTCAATGGTGCAGTTGGAGATCTTTATCACATGTCCAAAACCCGCGTATTCCAGATAAGGGACGATAAATGGGTCGGGAGCCAGGTAGTTGTGCGAACGGATTCTGAATCTTTTTGTGTCCTGAGTTCATAATTTAACAGGTGTAAGATTAATTAATATGAACAACGCGTTATTTGAAGTATGAAAAATGTATAACCAAAGAAGAAACTTACAAATGCAGCAATGTTTTCCCTTGTGCCTCTGTGAGTATCGCCCATTGTTAGAAGAGCCATTGTTTAAAATGCTTGAGAGTATGAAAGACTTAGGAAGAGATAGAGAGTATGATAAACTTATGAAATATTTCGTAGCAGAGAGTGAGACTTGTGTGAATGTGAGAGATGTATGATATGGTATGTATTTATAGGCAAATAAGTTTGATGTAGTGGTTGCTTGTTCTTGCATGCCTGCGAAGTGTCACATTTGCATGCTTAGGGGGTTACACATATGCATGCATGCATGTACAAAAAATGAAAGGTGTCACTCTTGCAGGCTAGGTGGCAGTCCATGCATGTATCACGATTGGACAGTAAGGGAGGCGCCATTGGACTTGGCGAAAGAGTACAAAAATGAATGGTGTCGCCACCCCAATTGGCGAATAAGAGGTGTCCTTTGTTACAGCATAGGCTCAGGCTACGTGACAGCCTTGGGGGATTCCTTTCATTATTGCATGTAAGCCCATTGGAGTTGATGGGAGGAGTCTTACAAAATAAATGTATATGTGCAGAATAGGGCCAGGCTAGGTGGCAGCCTATGGGGTTTCATAAAACCATGCATGTATCACGATTGGACAGTAAGGGAGGCGCCATTGGACTTGGAGAAAGAGTACAAAAATGAATGGTGTCGCCACCCCAATTGGCGAATAAGAGGTGTCCTTTGTTACATCATAGGCTCAGGCTACGTGACAGCCTTGGGGGATTCCTTTCATTATTGCATGTAAGCCCATTGGAGTTGATGGGAGGAGTCTTACAAAATAAATGTATATGTGCAGAATAAGGCCAGGCTAGGTGGCAGCCTATGGGGTTTCATAAGCCCATGCATGTATCACGATTGGACAGTAAGGGAGGCGCCATTGGACTTGTCGAAAGAGTACAAAAATGAATGGTGTCGCCACCCCAATTGTCAAGAAATCCTACCCCTGGTCAGCAACGACCCATCTTTGAAGGTGAAAACAATCATCTCCCACATCACCACGGTTTTTAACTACACTCCGTCTTACCGTAAGGCGTGGTTAGCAAAGACTAAGGCGATTGAAAGGGTCTACGGAAACTGGGAGGAGTTATACCGAGAACTTCCCCGCTACCTGAATGCACTCAAGACGTATTCTCCAGGTAGTGTTTACGTTCTGGAAACATTGCCAGCGTACGCCCAAGATGGTAGTCTACTGCATGTGCAAACCTAATTTTTTTTTTTTTTTTTTTTTTTTTTTTTTTTTTTTTTTTTTTTTTTTTTTTGCAAACTAATTTTACAAATTGATGGGACTTGGTTGTATGGGAAGTACAAAGGCACGCTATTGATGGCAGTTGCACAAGATGGCAACAACAACATTTTCCCCCATTGCGTTTGCCCTTGTCGAGGGGGAGACCGGTGGTGCTTGGAGCTTTTTCCTGAAAAATCTTCGGACACATGTGGCTCCTCAACCAGATCTCTGTTTGATCTCGGACAGACATGCCTCCATTGAAAGTGCCTACAATAATCCAGCAAATGGTTGGCATGACCCTCTTTATACGCATGTCTATTGCGTTAGGCATATCGTCCATAATTTCTCGAGGGAGGTCAAGGACAAAACATTGAGGAAAGCGGTTATGAATGCGGGATATGCATTGACACAACCCACATTCAAATATTACCGCAACGAGATCCGTTTGTCTAATCCGGAAGCCGGTAGGTGGATCGACAATATTCCGGTGGAAAAATGGACTAGGTCATACGACAATGGCCAAAGATGGGGGCATATGACAA